TTGTGGCCGCCGTTATTATGGATACTTACATTAAATTCTTTCAGCTCTTTAACATTCCTGTACTGAACCACTTCATGCATCGCCTTGTAACTTCTTTTAATCTTATCCACACCTGATAAAAAAAAAAAAAAATTATTTCGCGAGTTGTAGACTGTTAACAGTAATTAATCCATGCACCAAAACAAATCTTACCCTTGAATTGTTTTTCCTCTGTGATCATTGGCTTTTGATTGGTTTCAGAGAATGAGGAGAGAAGAAGATTGAAGCAAACGATGAGGAAGAGCCATGCAAGTGCTTGTTTCTTCATCTTATTGCTTTGGGGCATGGAACCAGGAGAGATGGATATAATTTAAGGAGTGCCTATAGCTTTTGCCCTTTGGAGTACTTAATTTGCTTGCTCATTATTTATAAGGTGTCAAGTAATTAAGCAAGAGAAAAGCAAAAAGAAATCATCTTCGAACAAATTCAAGAGAAAAGAGATTAGAATATAATTTAATTCAAATCTAGAATAAGAATCGACAGGCAATTGGACAGATTAAAGCGCAACTATATTGTAGAGTAAGTGTAAGAAAGTAAAGAATAAAGAGACCCTGTTCACCTTCCAAAGAATCTTATGGTTAATTTTTTCAAATAATGCATACCAAGCAATGAAATTTTACGATACTAAGTAATAATTAATTATAATTGATTTTAATTTTGAAAAATGATCTGTGTACTTTCAATTCAACATATTTTTTATATATTTTGGTTCAATCATTAAAAATATGATATAAATATAGTTAATTCAACCGACTCCTACATTATATATATAATTGTCTCTTTAAACTTATTTATTTTTAATTTTGTATTAAAAAATAATAATTTTTTAATAAATGTAATGTGCAATGTGTTAAACCAAAATATGTATCAATCACTATTCATTTAATTTTTTCCTAATGAAATACATATATTAGTATACATTTACTAATTTCGATGCTATATGAATATTATAAGATTTCATGACAAGAAAATATTGTATGAATCTACTTTATTTATTTGTTCTCTTTTTAATTTGCTTGCATTCTAAGGGAATTGGGTGCCTATATTTTGCCTTTAAGCTTCTCCGGCAAAAGAAAATGTGTTTCTCCTGCAAAAGAAAATGTGTTTCTCCTGCAAAAGAAAATGTGTTTCTCCTGTAACCTTTCGGTCTCTTTGGCATCATTTCAATGAATTCATGTGAATGCACATGTGCCTTATTCTGAAAGTTTAACACTGTCAATAGAAAAAGGAAGATAATATGTTTTTCCATATGCCTTCCAATATTAGCAAAACTTTATGCAAAGACAA